GGTGAAAGTGATGACTGTGTGTTAACTGGATAGTGAAAGTTCTGACTGGGAATGAGAGTGATGAATGGATAGTGAGGATGGTGACTAGGAGGCAAGAGTGATGCGTGAAGGATGAGAGGGGTAAGAGTGGTGACTGACTAGCTTTTAACTGCGAATGATGACCGAATGGTGAGATTAATGACTATGTAATGAGAATATTAAGTAGTTATTGGGTGATAAGAGCAATGGCTTGGTTATGATAATGGTGATTGGGTAGTGAGAGCGATGACTAGGTGTTGAGAGTGATGACTAATTGGTAGTGATGATTACGGAATGTGGGATAGGCTAAAAGAAGGGAATCTATGCGAGTATTTTGTTTAACGTGGTAACGACTGGAAGGTTATTTTGATGCAAATAAATGTATCCATGTTCTATTTTTCATTTTCTGTTTGTCTGATTATTCGTTCCTCCGCCCCCACCCACTCTCTCTCTCTCTCTCTCTCTCTCTCTCTCTCTCTATCTATCTATCTATCTATCTATCTATCTCTCTCTCTCTCTCACCCTCTCTCTCTTTCTCTGTCTCTTTATTAGTCCCTTTTCTCCCTTCCTCACTCTCTTTTTCTCTTTTCTCTCTTTTTTCACTCTTTCTCTTCACTCTCTAAATTTCTCATTCCTCCCCCCCTCTCTCCATCTTTATCACGTCTCCCTCTCTCCTCTTCTAAATGCATGAAAGTTTCGTAATTATGTCTGGGAAACCTTTCTTAATATTTTTCGCTTCTTTTTACTTTGCGATAAAAAAATTTTTAACTTAATTAATGCATAAATATAGACGACACTATCACGCAAGTGACACAGGGGTAATGATGATACTCTTAATAATTATGAACGATGGCACATAATGATAATTACGAGAATGGTGTTGACAGTGAAAGAATTACTAGTGACGATAATGGTGATAATATTGATAATGATATTAATGGCAATGCTGATAATTGCAACATCTGCAAGGATGATTAATTTGATATCAATGAAA